ATTAAAATAAATAGTGATGTTACTGACTGACCATAGAAGGGACATGGCATACTAGGAAAAATTAATTACTGAAATCAAGGCTGGTCTTTATAATTCTCTTCTGCCCTCTCCTTACCCAAGTTTTTATTGCAGAAAACAAAGACTTGCAGTGTTTCCAATCCTTGAAATATTTGTTTTTCTTAATGCTCCATTTTCTAGAGTCATGTGATTATATGAGACTTTCAGTCTACAATTAAAAGGGGGGAAAAGGGAATTTCTGGTCCTCATGGTTGCAGAGAAAAACAAAAATAAGAAAAACCCTCAAAATGTTTTTTTTTCCTTAAATTCTATTATTCTAAGCCAATCGTGACCTTTCAAAGCCTGGGGTTGAAATAGTGAAATTTGATAGTAAGGATTCATTACATTCATTTCACTTACTACCACGAAGTCACTCTTATCACCTGGACTTAAACTTATGACACAAACCCCATATTTGGAAAAAACAAACTTGATACCTGGGAATTACTTGCATTACATGCCCAAGTATCTATTGTGTACACAACTTTTGCTCATGTCACTTTAGCAGCTGCCAATTAAAATCTGGAATATATTTAACATGTTTTATATGCTTATTGTGAAATTAGCAGATACATCTTGACATAAGCAAAGAAAAACTGATGAAGAAAAACATAAATACAGGAAGACATAAATTTAGCCTCAGCCAAATAAACTTGAGAGAGACAAAAGAAAGCAGGTACAAAGATACCTTTCTAATGTAACTACTTTTAACAAAATAAGGAATGGCTTGTAACTTTGATTACATACTTATTCATAGGATTAAGGGAGAAGTGAGAAAACCCCATCCCTTTCTTTATGGGCTACCTTGGGTACCCTTTAAACCTGGTAGGCAGAGACTGACCATCACAGCTGTACTGCTGCAGGGGGTCTTGAATTTACTGCAGGCATAGGCCAGAAGCACATACAAAATGGAGGAACAAGGAACAAATTGTACAGCACAGGGTGTTATCTCTCAGGCACAATATCTTCTATAGAAATTCCCTGAGTGGTGCAGCTTACACATCAATCCTTTTAAGAGCTATGACTACAGGTACAATGTAGCCCCTCAAAAGGAAAGACTTCAACAGCTTCCTGCAGAATGCTGCTAAAATCTCACACACTATATTTTGTACATTGAAATGGATGCTCTACTGAGATCCAAGTAGATGACAACACTTTAGTAATCTCCCAGTTCCCTAAATCTTTACTGAACACATGGGAATCGTCCCGAATATTCCAGTGGGACAGCTCCTGTAAGCATAAGCAAGCAAGACCCAGAAATGCTAGAGTGTACTCAAATTTAATAGACCCACCTTGCAAGTGTATAATGCAAGTTAGGTATTGCTATATATATTTTCATGTAACAAATTTTAATGACTTTAAAATGCTTTTTCTTTCAAATCTGGCTTTTGATGTGGTAGAAACTTTGCCCTTTGAAAGGCAGATCGTATCTTTGTTTTTTTAAGCCTGGGTTTACGTAAGATTTTTTTCTGAGGCTAAGCTACCTCAACTGGCTTGTTTTTTATAGCTAGTAAAAGTCTTTTGGATCTACCATATGAAGGACTCTGTATATAAAACCAGATTATATACATTATTGGAGTGTGTTTGTGTTTATTTTACTTTAGAACTGTTGAAGGCCAGTGCTTTAATCTCATCAATACCTATAACAAAATCAGACTACAAGTTATCCTAAAAATGAACATGGATTTGCGTCCAACCAAGGCTGATGACTGTTGTCAATTAAATCTCCAAATAAATGAAACACCTATGCTATTATCACAGTTAAACTAATCTGTAGACATTTATCATTTTACACAAAGAAATTTCACTGAAACACAACTGTTGCTGTTGGTAGTTTAAGCAATTTTACACTGTTTTATTACACAGATTCATTTTTCTAACATGTGAACATCTCCAATCATTCTCTGCATTACTTGTAGGCTCTACCAAGAAATCACTGAAATATTCAGGGACTTCCATCATTACAAACCAGTTTTCTCCTCATTTATTTCCTTAGTTCGTAAGTGTCCACAATTTCAATTTGTCCACCAATAGTGTCATATAGAACACCAGTACCTTGGGATTATATTTCCAAACACAATGAATGTCAAATAAATTAAATAAAAGGTAAAATATATTTTGATCAACTATGCCATGTTAAACCACCTCTTCACTCTTTTTGTGAAAAAAAGCTTTCCACAAAAAAATCCAAAAATGCAACATGATATTCACGGGGGAAAAAAATTATAGGCAAGACCAACAGTTTTATGTCCAAAAAATTCTACAACAGTAGAGAATAGTAATGAGATCAGAGCTCCTATACATTATAATCCTTCACTATTTTTAACTCATTGCTATTATATTATCTCAAAATAGATCATATTTGCACAAGCTCAAAAAATGGGGATAACAAAAAGTCTGGCACAAAAAATGACCACTATCTTCACCAAGCAAAACACTGCATTTTTCTCTACTGCAATTTAAGCATTGTTAGTAATTGTGCTTATTAAGAAAATTAAGGAAAGAGTAATGTTTCTTATATCATATATAAGTAGATGACTGAACTACACGTCGGAATCTTGCCCTGTCTGCTTGTAGATGCTCCAACATGGTTTATATCAAACTGTCTATTGATGACAACTTGCCCTCTTCCATATACAGTTTCCACATTTCTGACATACATTAATGAAGAATAGGAACTTTATGCACTTACACATACAAACGATGAAAGCTTTACTGGTTAACAACAAATCTAATTTTTGTCTCATTTAACTTATGGCATATGGAATACTCTGCAAGGCATATGGCACTAATTAAACATGGTACAAGTCCCCCAGATATTCAATATAGCCATGAGGTACCCAAGGAATGCTTCCTTTCAGTGTACATTATCTATGTATTGATTTGATGGTTTGAATGCGCAAAAGCCCTGAGAACTAATAGTGTTTAATGATGTGGGAACTGCACTTCTATTCTTATCTATGTGAATGCTGCAGTTGCTGAGGAAAATTCAGAGATACTTAATGAACAAGCAAATTATGAACTAAGTAGGATGGCTTTTATTTTCATTCATATAACATTAGCCATTGATTTTGATATTCCTTTTAAACCTCTGTTTTGACATTTATATTACACCATATTTTCTCTATGACTAAATATTCCGGAGAGCAAAAAATTAAACATATTGTCATCCTATTTTAATAGAAATACTAAATATCATAATTTTATTAATGTTGATGACATGGTAACACCCAACTAAAATACTGCATACGTAATTCTGAAGCCAAATATATTGGCTTAAATATTCTACAGCAGCTGCACCGATGGAAATCTTTATCTTGTTCAAGTGGGACTTTTAAATATTGATTCATCATTGAAAATTCTTTTTTTTTTATTTTAAAACCAAAAATAAGATATTTTTGTCACCTCTTGTCAACTCAAAACTCAAAGTTCTCAGCTTTGTCCGCTATACTTGTGGTCAGTCAGTGAGAAAATCAGATCAAGAAAATAAATGCTGTATTTGCTCTGCGTCATAATTGTTGCTTACAAGCACAATCAACAGCAGAAGTGAATTCCAGAAGTCATTATCTTTGTTTATGATGATGTCTTGAGCAAAAATAGAACTGAGGTTCATAAGCTATAATAAAACTAGTGTACCACCTTCTGTTAACTAAAATATTGTCATGACAGAGAACGATAGATACACTCCTATAACATTCAGCATCAAGGTGTCATTTCTACTGAGACAGTTCTTGAAGAGGAGCAGAGCAGTTTGCATTCTGAAAGGTAACACTGGCTCTGTCATTTTCCTCTACATCTCAGACTCTTCTGAGACTGAATAAAGCCCTAACACTTCTGAAGAAAAGGTTTGAATGGTTTTTCATCAACACCATCTTTAGAAAAAAACCAAACAACGTATTTCCCAAAGTTTCAGTGGTTCAATATATCCTCTGCTTTTAATATGGAATTTAAGGAAAGTGGGGGATTCACTTATTTGTAAATCATTCTTAATTAAACTTTATGCAGTACATTTTTATGCTTAAAATAATCTGAGATAAAAATTGCTCTATTCTTTGTTTAACCCCTTGCTACACTATCACTTTATTCATAAGAAACATTACTAGTAAGTATAAGAATGCAAAATTGATGATTGAATTGTATACAGTATACAGATGTGCACTTCTGTACCTCCTGTACACTATCTTTGAACATGTAAAGTGGAACCTGACACAATTACTATTTTGACACAATTTTGTACCCCCTCCCTACCAAAGGTACAATCATGGTTACAGTACATTTCAAAATGTCATGCTTGTTGCCCTGGACATGAAGCATCACTGTACTCAAAAGAGAAATAATGTTTAAGGTGCCTGGAATCCCTGTTATGTAAAACAAGATGATATTTTTCCTTGTACTACCATAAAACAACAATATTTCTATTTGTGGAACACAACAAGAACTGCAATCTGTGGCTTTCTCTTGTGTGATTTCAAATACAACTTCACCAAAAAGGCACATCTTTCTTTGAAGATATTTTTCATTTGAAATATCGTGCATGATAAACAGGTTTTCACTCGTCAAGGTATTTCTCTTTCCTGTTCTATTATAGACAGCAACAGACATATTGAAAATCTATGTAGCCAAGATATATACAATATACTAGAGATAACTGAGCACCTGAATTGAGAAAAAACAGAGTAAGAAAAAACTGCTTTTAGCTTCAGGAAGAATCTTTTAAAACACCTATAAATCATGTTAACTCACAGCGGGCAAACGTGCATATTTCTCTATTACAATAAATTAACCCTGCTTTCCACTCCTACCTTACTGCATTTATATTCCATGCATTATACACAACAAGAAACATAAAAATAGAGATCCTTTCAGCCTCACCAGTTTGCCATTGAAACCAGCAGTGAATTTTTCATTGAGAAAAAGAGAGAATGGAAGGAAAACAGACCAACCTTCACAATGTACGTCACACCAGGTCCCAAGATCTTTTCGTTCGAGTGCAGCCACCCTCGAGAGGGTTTATTGACAAAGCTGCTATTCTGATTCCAGTCTTCACCTCCCAGGTGCATTTCCTCTAACCGTGTTTTTTTCCCTGTACTCATCTTGCTCACGTCCTGCTGAGAACACGAAGTGGCAGAGACAAGGTTACATGTGTTGTCTGAAGCCCCTGCTGCTGAGCTGGAAGCACTCGAGCTTCCCTGCAACTTGGAGACAGCAAGCTCCTTCACTGCAGAGGAGAGGTTTTTTATGCCCAAAAGGCTGCCTGTGTTGGACAGTTTCAAGTGGGACACTTTATGGATGAGGGTGCAAAGGGTGGTGGGTCCATCTTCTTGGTCCTTGCGGAGAACCTCAGGTGAGACCAGGTATGAAGGTGGTGTTGAAGTCGTAGCAACTGCTGAGACCTTGCTGTTCATGGACAAATTGTGAATAAGATCATCAACTGATGTCACCGAATCATTCCTGAAGCGGTTATACTTGGTACGTTGAAGCATGCCCTTCTATCTGGTTTCCTGCATACGTTCTGGCAAATCTGATGCCAACGCAGAAGATGCCTGTGCTAACATAGCAGACGATTCATAATAACCAGGACGGGAAATAAAATTTTGGTTTAAAAAAAAAGAAGAAAGTATAACAAAGAGTAAATGCTTTAAAATATATTTCTTATGGTTCTACATTAAGGTTGGGTGAAGTAATAGTTTTCTATGACAGAGATCCCAGTCCTGCTTAGAGCTGCCAACTCGCTCACAGCAAAAGCATGACTCACACAAATGAGAAGGACCCTTTTCAACAAAAGGCTCAGTGAACACTGCAAATCACTTCCTGTAGCAAAAAAAAAAAAAAAACCCATCCACCCACTTACAGCATACTAGCACCAATCAATTCTCAAATTTCCTTTTCCTATCTTCCCAAACAGATATTTCCTTCCAACCTTTAATTTTTTCCTCTTTTGGTATCAAAGGCAAATACTTCTAAGGAACTGTATTAACATTTTTTTCAGAAAATCCTTCACTCTGTTCTGTTAAAATGCTCCTGCGTTGTAGATCTGTAAGAAGTCACAATTAGGCATTATAATAATGTTCACCACCCCCCATCCTCACTTCATACCCCCCACCCCGAACATATGTATCTTGAAGCATTTCAGAAAATCTTAATGAATAACAGCATTGGGTGACAAAGCTACACTAAAGAATACACTCATTTTCTTTTACAAAAGCAGTAAAACAGCTTAACAAGTACCTTTATGCCAATGCAGTTCCTCACAAAAACTGTTATATCACAGTTTTTGTACAGAAACAAATCCTTCTGCCCTAATACTCCACAGCAAGCTTCTTATTGAATGCAGTATTATATAAAGTACCTATGTGTGAAGAGAAGTATTCTCTGGATGTACGGCAACAGGGTTAAGAACTGTGCCCTCTTTCATAGATATTCATTCCCAAAGAAAAACTGTAAAATGCATCTGCAACCCAGTTTAATATCAGGTTATGCTCTGAAAGACTGAAAAATACTACAGGGATATTCAGAAGCATCTATAGCAGCGTGCTGATGCCCTGTAGTCAGGAGAAAAAATGCACTAGCTCCTATTAAACATACACGCCAGCCCAAAATACCCGATTTGAAGAGTAAAATAGGTATCATACTTAAAATAGTATCTCTCCTTCATTTTAATAGACAAATACAAATGTAAAGTACTACAAAATTACAATACCCACTGTAAACCAAATGGCACTTTTATGTTATTTGATCTGCTTTGTAAATTGCAATTTGGATTTAGGACGCTACATTGCACTGTAAAAAAAAGACAAATGCAGGTCAAAGAATGCATGTTTTCTCATAACTAATCATTATAACTGCAGCACATTTTAAAGGAATAATCTTGAGGGTTTTCCTCCCTCCCCCTACGACGAAAGGCTGCAGTACATACAGGACAAGCACACTAAAACAGCTTTAAATACAGGTATTTAATTAGTATAATTTATGACACATTAAATGAAGTAAGCACCTCTTATCCCAGCAGTGATGAATAATGGAAATATCCTAGACAATGTAAAAGCAGGTTTCTAGTGATCTGCAGAATAGCCTTTCATCCCCACACTGCAAACCTGCTACAGAATCCACACAGCATTCATTTTTCTCTTCATCCTCCTAGCATAGCAACAGCAAATATACACACCATAGCTTATTTCTACATTTCTCTAATGCATAGAAAACCCTATCGTTTCCAAATGGCTCTCTTCATTAGAAGCGGATAAAAAACTGCAAAATGTGAATGAAATTCTGTGTATGTGAATGAAAGGGCTGGCTAGCATACCAACATTTCTGTGAATGAAGCAAGGCCTTGCAGCCTCTGCCAGGCAATCCCTTGGGTGCTAACCATCCCAGCCAATAAGAAACAGCTTGGATGACTCATTCAACAAAGGCTTGCTAAATAGTGGAAGATTCCATTTCAAACACAGGCGGGATCTTTTATCCAGCAAGAGAAAAGAAAGCCTGCTTAAAATGATCTAAAGATGAATAGAACAACTATTTTGCAGGAAAGATGTTTCATGCAAGTGATATTTAGCAGTTGCATGTGCATGTGAAACTGTTTAGTTGAATATCTATTTCACCCCAAGGTGTTCATTCAGCTGGTTCATTTATATCAAGGACGGGAACATGAATGTGCACGTTTTGCTCAATATTTGATTGTTATGAATGTACATCAGCAGATTCAAAAAATTTACAGGTTTGCATTCAAAGATATTCTGGCATTGACTATATACAAAAACAAAACTATCTGTATAACCTTTTGACAAACCAGGTATTTTAAAGCAGTGGCATCACTAATCCCCTGAAAGAGGGGGGCAATGAAAAAGAGTGAAAACTCATAGTATTTTAACGTCCACTGCCTGCAGATCCATTCCTAACACTGCTGCACTGGGCACAGAAATACTAACAAAGCACATAGTAGATACCAAGCTCTGAAAAATCTGTCCCTGCGTGTCACCGTAGGGAATGCTAGATGCAGAACACTTGAACACTGGAACAGTAGGAACCTATTTCAGTGTTTGAATAGGAACTGAGATCTTTTGAAAATTTGACCCCAATGGCAGGTACTAAGCATTTGAAAACCCTGGCCCACATAACTCATGGAAGTGGTAATTGTATAAAACATGTAGTTATGCAAAATGATGTCAAATCCAATTCAGGGGAATAATGATGAAAATCAGGGCTGATGGATTTACATTAAAGAGCATTTCTGCTACTCCAGCAGAGGGCCTTAAAATGGTGTAAATTACCATTAGTAGAAAGTCCATTAGTAGAAAGTCACTTGATGTCCAGAGAACAGCATGGAGGTCTTCGGGTATGTTGTTAGTTCAAAGGTACAGTTGTAAATTGTGCAGACACACCTAAACTAGCCTTAAACTAGCCATCTTGGGAATTAGAGCTCAGCATGGCATAGCCAGCTGAGTATATACTCACACTCCTAGGTAGGTTTTACAGCCTACGTGGAACTAGTGCCATTGTGAGCTACTCTGTTATCAGTATTCAAGCTAACTAGTTTAAAGCTGGCTTGGCTTTGTCTGCAGGAGCTGCAATCACATCTTTAATTTGCAGTTCTACCATTCCCTACATGAGTATCAGGTTCTCATAGTTGTTTAATAGTTAACAATAGCCAAACTATTGTTTCTCTGGGAAACAATAACTTGTTACCTCCAGACTCATAACATGTCAAATTTAAGCGTCTTCTTGTTAGATGATTTATGCAGATTATTGAATCTACATATTTGCAAATAAGTTGCACGTGTCCACGAACATCCCTTGAGGGCTGGTGTAAACTGTGAGATTGAGAGTATATTTCTCTTAATTTTCCCCAGGGTAGTGTGCAGGTTTTGAGCTAGGGGCAGGACCTTTAAGGCAGTCAGACAGAAAGCAAGCTTTTGTGGGGAGCCAGAGACACTTGAGAGGAAGCTAGGCGTGACCTAAACGATGTGAGATTAGGTGTTTGCAAAGGGTTGGCATAAGCCTTGTCCTACCTCTGCATCTCCATCCTTCTCTTTTCTCCCCATTGTGTTCTTCCATTAGCCCTTGCACTATGCTTAATCCCTGCCATTCTTAGCTCTCACCTTTAGGTCCAGTCCTACCTCTCCCATGAGCAGGGCCTCAGCTCTCCTGCTGGGATACTGACAAAGAGCTGCTGCTGGCCCCTCTGCTCCAGGCGATGGATGAACAACAAGAGAGGTTGATAAAAGGGAGAGGCTATTTGATGGTGTCCTCTGGAGATTCCACCGGGTCCCATGACATCTTCCAGGATAAACCAAGGCCCAAATTCCTTTGTTGATCCACAGCCTAGCTCAGGGGTGGGCAATTATTTCAGGCGGAGGACTGCTTACTGAGTTTCAGCAAGACGTCGAGGGCTGCATAACAGGCAGCCAGGGGAAGATGCATATTAATTTTCTAATTTTTTTAGGGGCCCCTTGGGCCAGATAGAATGGCCTGGAGGGCTGCATTTGGCCCGCAGGCCACATTTTGCTCGCCCCTGGCCGAGCTGAATGTATAACAACTGTGAGGGGCTGCAGGTATACCTGGGCTACATGGTATACAAACTGAAATTGTTTCTGATTTGCCTTTGAGGCCATTTCCAAGATGCCCTCCTATTAATTGCCAAAACTTACCAAGGACTTTCTCTGACCCCACTAAACTATGCAGCTATGAGTTACCATCTGATGTGACTCATGCCTGCTATATAAATGATAGTGAATTATTGAATTGTTGCATGTACTGGGATCAGCATGCCTAACAGTCCTGATGGAGTAAACAAAGGATAAGAATGTAATTAAAATTCAAAAACAGTCTTCACAAGAAGATAAATCTTTGTGTGGAAATCAGCCTTGAAGAATGGGAGATTTTGGAAAGGTGGCAATAAGATTAAAAGAACTCTCTCAAATGAGCAAGTATATTCAGTACTGATATGCTCAGTAGATTCCAAAATCAAATGGGAGAGCAAATTGCCTCAAATCTGAGTGCCCCAAAAGTCACTCCTCTCACCTTTTAATTTTGTCATTCTTCTGTTGTCTTCTTAGCAAAACAATTGTACACTTCCCTTATTGAATACCACATTTGCAGCCCCAGATACTTTCCATGTCCTCTCAAGCTTTATCTATATATTGGGTGCATCTACACAAGATGCTTTACTGCAGAGCTGACTAATTAGCTCCATAGTAAAGTGTCACTGTCTACACATGCAATGCTATTAGGCCGGAGTAAACTATTTAACTCTACTGTAGGATAGTACTGCCCAACACAACTTCTACCCTACAGTGGAGTAGTTACATGCAGTGGAACACATGTGTAGATGGTGACAGAGCTGGCTGGGGCATGTGGTGGCTGCCTGCCAACTAGCCCCACAATGTAGCACCCTTGTGCCCCAGCCAGCCGCTCCGCAGCATGTTGAGCCACAGGGGAGCAGTTCCAGACTGGTAAGCTGACCCCCTTGGGCTCCCTTCCAGCCAGGACTGTGCTGTCTTGGCTCAGTGTGCTGCAGTCCCAGGTGCACGTGTAAACCCTGCACCCAGGAGCAATAAACTCTGGCGTGAACTGCACCCGAGTTTATTGCATCATATTAATATCATGTGTAGACACCCCCATTATTCCCATTTTTCTATCTGCAAAGGATGTGACTGAGTTGTTCAATAAAAAAATAAGGAAGTCAGGGTCACTTTTCCACCATTTTACCCTCTTATCCTTTCCTGTTTCCTCCCATTCCATACTTTTTCTTCTCCTGTTTCATTGACCCTAAGACTTTTTCCTCCTGTCTTCATTCAGTATCTCTTCCTGCCCATGTGATCTGATTATCTCGTATTTTATATTGTCCCTTTCCTTTCTTGATATCCTATTTTTCCTCTTCTTCCACAGCCTCTTGCTTTTTTCAGGTTTCTTTCCCATCCAGTAAACACATGTTCCTTTATCTTAAAATAACAACATCTGACCTTCCTCTATATCAAATTATCATCCAATCTCTCTCTCCTGTTTCATCGTCATACTCACTGACAATGATGTGTACAGCCACTGTCCCCAGAAAGGAGTTCCTTTCTTCCAGTTGATTCTTGAACTTCTCCAGTCCTGCTTCTACCCTTTGAACTCTATTTTGTTCTCACTGTCATCTCTAATGACATATTACTGACTAAATTTCAGGATCATAGAACCATAGACTCATAGTGTCAGAAGGGACCTCAGGAGGTCACCTAATCCATGTAGCCAAGGTAGGATCATTCCTGACAAACCATTCCAGTCAAATGTCTGTCTAATGTGCTCTTAAAACTGGCCAAGGAGGAAGACTCCACAGTCTCATTCGGTAGCCTGCTCCAATGCTTAACCACCCTCATAATAAGAAAGTTCTTCTGAATATTGAACCTAAATCTCCCTTGCTGCAATTTAAGACCATTGCTCCTTGTCCTATTCCCTGTGAGCACAGAGAATGGTCTATATCAGTCCTCCCTATAGCCACCCTTCAGGTGTATAAACACCGCTATCAAATATCCCCTGACTTTTCCTCTCCAGACTAAATAATCCTAGTTCTTTCAACCTGTCTTCATAAGTAATGTTTCCCAGACCTCTAATCATTTTCTGTTGCTCTCTGCTGTACTCATTCTAATTTTTCCAAATCTTTCTTAAAATAAAAGGCCCAAAATTGGACACAGTTCTCCAGGTGAGGCTTCAGCAGTGCCAAATGAGGGAGAATCACTTATTTTGATTTGCAAGTGATGCTCCTATTAATACAGCCTAGCATAAGCCTTGTCCTACCTCTGCATCTCCATCCTTCTCTTTTCTCCCCATTGTGTTCTTCCATTATGCTATTGGCATTTTTTGTAGCAAGGGCACATTGTTGACTCATATTCAGTTCATGATCCACTATGATCCCTAGATTCTGATCTATAGTACTACAGCCTAGGCAATCCCTTTCCAGTCTGTATTTTTGTATTCCATCCCAAGTGCCAGACTTTGTACATGTCCTTGTTGAATTTCATCCTGTTGATTAAAGACCGTTTCTCCAGTTTACCCTCCATGATGCTTGTAACTCCACTCATCTTGGTGTCATCTGAGATTTTGCTAATCATAAACTCAAT